GAGTGGGACGCCACGTCTGCTCCTGCGCCTGGCGGCATTAACCCCGCTTTGGTTGCAGCAGAGGGCGGTATGTGCAGATTGCGTTTAGCCGATTTGACTACTGATGGCGCTCTTCCCTCCTATCAGGTGCCCTCGATTGGTCTGCAGAGCCAGCAACTACTGGTCCGACGGATTGGGCGGCGGAGCCAGCAGCGGCGTCTGGCTGGGGTGCGGATGCGGGTGCGTCGACTGCTTGGGATTAAGAGGAGTTTCAGATGTCGACCCACCACACGATTGTTGGGCCATGGCCGTGTTGTACTCGCCGAGCGCATGTGCTCGTCATGCCATTCACGTTGTTTTTATTACGAGTCTGCAAAAGTATGGAGAGTATGGCCAACATAACATGCTTGTTTTTTTTGCCTCTATTATGGTGTCGCTGTGCATGTGGCAATTTGAGAGCGGTGGTTGATAATGTCGTAGCTCGTATGTGTACACTATCATACTATCTGCGCGTCTTCATGAGTATGATCACTCGCGAATCGCGACAGTCTATTGTCGCTGTGACATCATCATTATAAAACGCCGGGAGGTACAATCATGTCAATGTGCACCAGAGTCACGGCCCGCCCAAGTCACTGAACGATTAATTACCCAGCCAAAACTGCGGCTCTCCCGGATCAATCTTGTATCTCATATAGTACAATATATTTGGTCTTCGCTATGCAATGCTTTTCGTATGTTCGAGCTCTCAAGTCACCCTAGTCCGGTTCAGTGCGGACAAAAGGTGTTCACTCCATGCTGCCAACTGGTTCGTTCTTGCCCTCCTTGCGGAGCTTCTCGTGTATCGCCTCGACCTCATCCTGCACGCGCTCGATGGACTTGAAGTATTTGACGGTCTTGACGTGCAGCTCTACGGAAGGGTCGCGCCTGCGTGAGCGGCGATCTGGCGATATTCGACGGAGCACATACCAGCAGTGGCGTCCTCGTCCACGACAATCAGCGCCCACGGATGCATTTGCAGCGCAGAGAGCGTCCAGAGGTGGTTCACGCCCTCCTCTGCGCCCGCCGGGCACGTCAGTGCGAGTTGACATCTGCGGGAGAGAGCACACACCAATAGCTTTGCTGAGCGCAAGCGCCTTGCGCTGACCCGTGACGACGACGACGACCTCGCGCGAGTCGAGGACGGTGGCGACGCCGACGGTGAGCGCCATGCGCGGAACGGCGGAGATGTCGTTTCCGAAGAACCGCGCGTTGGCCAGAATGGTGTCATAGGCGAGGGTTTTGATGCGCGTGCGCGATGCGAGCGAGGAACCTGGTGCGCGGGAGAGGTGAGAGGGGGAGGGAGGAGAGACGAGGGGACACACCTGGCTCGTTGAATGCGATGTGGCCGTCCTCGCCGATGCCGCCGAGGAAGAGCTCGATGCCACCGTACTCCTTGATTTTTGCCTCGTACGAATTGCACTCAGAGATCAGGTCGGGCGCGTTTCCGTCGAGAATGTGGACCTGCGATGGGGGGATGTCGACTGTGGAGATGGGTGAGCGGGGACAGACGGGAGGAGGGGAGGTCGCGCACTGTGGGAGAAGAACTCGCGGAACATGAAGGTGTGGTAGGACTCGGAGTGGTCGCGCGGGAGGCCGACGTACTCGTCCATGTTGAAGGTGACGACATGTTTGAAGCTGAGCCATGTCTGGATAAGGAGCGTGAAATGCAGAGGAGAGACGATGGACGCACGAGAGCTTTCCGTCTTTTACGAGTGAGATGAGGTGCTTGTAGGTCGGGATGGGAGACGAGCCCGTCGGGAGACCGAGCACGAATGGTCGCTCCGCGGTTGGCGCAAAGTCGTTGATGCTGGAGAGACGTGAGGGTATAAGGATGAGCTACGGAAAGCGAGGCGTACCGCTTGGCGATGTAGTCGCCGATGTACTGGCCGACGTGAGTGGGGCTGTCGCGGATGATGAGACCTGGAGAGCTTTTCAGCCGGATCGTCAGGTATGAGTTGGATGGGACTCACGCATGGTCGACTAGCGAGCGGACGAGGGCGAGAGGGAGAGGGAGGAGAGGGAGAGGTCGGGGACGGAGGAGAGAGGGCGAGGAGAATAAAAGACTCCTATCGATCTGCTCACGGCCGGAGATTGGAGCACGCACGGGGAGGAGTTGGCGACATGTTCCATATGGCGGCCCTGCCCTGGCCAGAACGCGCGGTGCTCATCGACGGACGCGCATGCGGGCGAGCGGATTGGCCGAGCGCATCGTCCGCACATGTGCCCACCACCGTCTTCGGCCCGACTCGACCTCATCCATCACCCACAGACGCCGTCCTCTCCGCCCTGCAGCCTGCAGTGCACAAACTCGAGCAGAATCATCACGGCTAGTCCGAACATCGCATCCAGACGCGCCGACAGGATGAACGGAACTCGACTTTTCATCAAGGCTAGGGAACTAGTACATAGCCTGGCCCGGCATCACAATAATTAGGCTATGTAATCCGACGAACTGCCACTCTGTAGGGACGGCTCCTCGGTCATGGGCACCAGGCGAAGCTCTCAGCGACTTACAACACTACGTGAATGGAGGCAGGTCCTGTCTGTATCCGTGAGCAGACAGATTGATGTCGCGCACTGCGCAACCCCCACGAATGAGAGCAGCGCACGTTCAGTGAAAATGCCCGCAGCTCGGCCACGAAGATATCCAAAAGAAGAGTACAAGGGTACCATCAATGTGAATCCTTGTGATTCTCCCGATTAGACACCGTGCACAGGAGCTGCAGCAAATGTGATAGCACTTACAAATGTATTCATCAAGCATACTTCTTGAGGATCGTCGCCTGCCAGGACCCGCTGAGGAGATATCCAACGTGAGACGGTACCGGCCTATCTCAGCATGGCCGCATACGAGCGCCACCATTGATAAAGTAGGTTGTGAATCAGAAAAGACAATCCTTCACATGAAATCCGAGGGTCTGGAGCAGCGTCTGTCTGGCGGAACCGATGGAGCATCGGAAACACAAGAAGCAGCAGGTAAATAAGAGAAACACCATCAAGCTTGCACACCTGAGAAATACAAAAAGACATTTCACGGGCTCAACCTGCTGATAGGACCCAAACTGCGAGGAAAAGCAAAGCGGATAAGAGAATTGTTATGGTTGCTGCTGCAGAGTCGGCAGTAGGCAGGCTGGAAAAATCATTGGTGCGATACCAGAAAGGGGGCTACTGATCGGATTGTGTGCGAGATTATAGTCGCGAAAGATTTGCTGCTTGTTGAAAGAGCTGCGAGGAGGAACCGAAGGCTACAGGTACGCGACGGTGGCGTCTGGTGAACAAATCACGGGACCCGACGAATGGCGGCGGCGACGCGCTTCAGCAGACGGACAGCGTCCATGTCGACAACGACGACCCACTCTCGCCCTGCGGCGGTCGGCCTCGCTCCCCAGTACCCCTACCTCGCCATGTCGCCTGCACCCCACTATACGCCCTCCTCCTCGGTCATCTCCCTCGGCGTCAGCGAGCTATCAGCTGTTCCGCAAGATGTGCCGGTGCTGCATCCCCAAGATCTTCTCCCTCACGCCCCTCCCAATGATGCTGATAACGTTGTGATTGCACCCTGGCTGGCATCACCAGACGATGAGCCCGTACGTTCCTGGAAACAGTCCCGTGGCAAGTCTCAATGATATTCCTTTTTACAGCCAACGCCCCCGCCAAAACCTCAGCGGTACGGCTTCCCGCATAAATCATCCTTTGCATCCTTTTCTCTCCCCCGTCAGCTCAGCGCTTCGAACTTGAGCCTAGCAACCACCCGCTCCTCCGAATCACACGTCCTCCATTCAAGCTCCCTGGGCCACGACACCCATCATTCTCGGGAACCCCGCAGGGCCAAGTCTTCCATCAGCAGCATCCTCACGCATCCTCTCTCAAACTTTGTCAAAAAGCAACGTTCAAGGAGCCGCTTAAGATCTGATGTCGCTCTTTCAGAAGAGCCCGTCCCCCCGCTTCCCATTTTCGACCATCTGTCCACATACTCTGCCGCTTCCACGGCCCCCTCTTTGCTCAAGCACAGGAAACATAAAATTCCCAGCATCTCTTCGGAGTCCCCCCCACCTGTGGGTGATGCAGAGTTCAAGCTCGACGTGGATCTCGATCGTATGGAAGGTATCATCGATCCCCACATTCTCTCTGCACCGGACAGTGGTTCCCCTCGCAGTGGAGGCTTTGATAACTCCAGTTCGGAGGTTTCATCTACGCATCACTCGCTTGGAGCATCGTCATCTAATATCTTCAGCCATCCCCACCCCTTTGGGCCACCGACAGTCCGTGTACAACGTTACCACTATGATGGCCGGAGGATATCACCTACTTCACGCCCAGCCGATTTTCCTGACGATGATACCCGTTCTTGGGCCCCACCTCAAAGCTGGGAGGTCGATCAAGAAGGAGGGGCCACGACGATAGCGGAAGAGTCAAGTTCTGATGAGAACGAACCTGGTCCACCGCGCAAACCGGGACGTTTGCGGCCCGAGAGTAAAATCCGCCCACGTCCGCCAATTAAATCGGCCTCGTCCTCAGCGCTATACAAGATCCGCATATACCGTGCAAATGGGACGTATCACGTCGTTTCGATCAGCCTCGCTGTGACTGTTGACGAACTCATGCCGGAGCTAAATAAGAAGCTTTCGTTGAATCCGGATCGAGAGCCACATAGCTTGTACTTGAAGGAGCGAGGAAGAGGTATGCTCGCGTGCCATTCCAATGGTTCTTATGCTTATGTTCTGCAGAGCGAGTTTTGGCTCCTACTGAGCGGCCGGCTAACATTGTACGGCGCCGCTTGGACCAAGCAGGCTACGAAGAAGCCGATAGTCTTGAACAATTAGGGGCAGAGGATCTGACATTCCTCATGAGGTTCGTTTACAAAAGTAATGTATTGGGCCTGTCGAACGTAGGTGTTGTTTGTCTCGTCTCGCATATTAGTTTTAATTGGATTGGTAGGCGGACGACCACAACATCGACACGTTCGACATGATTGACTTAACCGGACGTGGTGTACGAACAGTCCCGATTCTGCTTTACCCTCATGCGGATGCGATCGTCTCGCTGAATCTCTCCCGCAATCCTATGCTCGAGATCCCCCTGGATTTCATCCAAGCCTGCACCACGCTGCGCGAGCTTAGACTAAGTCAGATGGCTATGAAGAAAGTTCCACAGAGCGTACGATATCGAGACACTCTTCATCGTTTAGATCTCTCCTGCAATCGCATTGGCGATTTGGACGACGCTGGCTTAGATTGGATACCAGAACTTCGGTCCCTGAAGGTTCAGAACAATCGAATGGAAAGCCTCCCATGGTGGTTCCCCCGATTAGGCGCATTGAAGGATCTTAACATCTCAAATAACAAGTTTGGCGCCCTTCCCTCTGTTGTGGTTGAGATCACTGGGCTCGTCGACCTCGACATATCGTTCAACATGATCGATAAGCTTCCGGATGATTTTGGGCGGCTTCAATCCTTAGAACGGCTGATCATCGTCGGCAATCAGGTGACGGAGTTTCCATCAAGCTGCAGCGGACTGGTCAATCTACGAATGTTAGACTGCCGCAGAAATAACATATCCGACCTCTCTGTTGTCTGCAGGCTTCCAAAGGTCCAGCAAATTTTTGCCGATCACAATTCCGTTCACGCTCTTGACGTCTCCTTCGGACCCTGCTTGAAACAACTAGACGCGTCACACAATGACTTTACTCAGCTGCTCCTCTTACCTGGTCCTGTTGGACAGCCTTACGCCCTTACATCGCTAGATATTTCGCACTCGAAGTTGTCCGCTCTTGACGAACTTGCTCTCGCTCATCTCACAGCTCTTGAGACGCTACACCTTGATCACAATTCGTTACGGTACATCCCAGAATCCCTCGGTGCTCTTACTCGCCTCGTCCACCTTTCCTGTTCAAACAATCAACTTCGAGCCCTTCCGGCAAGTATCAGTCGCCTGTATAACTTGGAGACTCTGGAGGTGCATAACAACTCTCTCGCTGAGCTCCCTAGTACCCTTTGGAACTGTGAGAATTTACATCTCATCAACGCTACATCCAACCTGCTCGGATCTTGGAGTTTACCTTCCGGCTCGGATGTGGGAAGACGCGCGGGCGTGAACGGCACTACGCAGAATGGACCCGTGCCTGTTAGGTCTGATAGTTCGTCGGTTAGGAAGGCATCATCCGCCAATTCCATTATGTGTATCGAGAAGAAATGGCCCCCCATTGTGAACTCGTTGCATCGACTCTATCTGGGAGAGAATCAGTTTACAGACCATGCTGTACATCCTCTTGCACTGCTAGCAGAGCTACGTGTTCTGAACCTGTCCTTTAATGAGCTTCAGGAGATTCCGCCGTCTTTTTTCGAGAAACTGACGAGCCTCAACGAGCTATATCTCAGTGGTAACAAACTTTCGACGATTCCAACGGAGGACCTGCATAGGTTGACCAAGCTAGAGGTGCTCTTCTTAAACGGTAACAAGCTACAGACGCTTCCCAAGGAGATCGGCAAACTCACCAATCTTATCGTCCTTGATGTCGGAAGTAACATCCTGAAATATAATATCTTCAATTGGGAGTTTGATTGGAACTGGTAAATAATTGCAGTGTGCGAAAGTCATCCTTGCTGATTGTGTCTATAGGAATTTCAATACGAGCTTGCAGTATCTGAACCTTTCCGGGAACAAGCGATTGGAAATTCGGACAGATATCGCGCCAGTCAAACATGACGAGAAACGCAAGATCCTCGCTGATTTTTCCAGCCTGACCCAGCTGCGTGTTCTAGGACTGATGGATGTTACGGCGACCAACGGCGCCATTATTCCGGACGAAAACGAGGATCGACGCGTACGCATTTCACTTTCGGAAATTAATGGTGTGGGATACGGCATCGCCGACACTCTAGGGGCGACGGAGCATCTCACCATGCTTGACCTTGTCCAGCCCAAATTTCGTGCAAACAACGACGAAGCGATCTTCGCCATGTTCGGCCGTGCCACCCATACAGGAAACAACTACTGGCTCAATCATTATCTGCAGTCGAATTTTCTCGATGTGTACTCTGGTGAACTTGCTCACCTAAGACCCGAAAAGGGTGAAGGCATCCCAGATGCACTACGTCGCGCATTTCTCCAGCTAAACAAGCACCTTCATGACTTTCTGTATTCCAACTCGTCTGCACGCAAAATGTCTCAAGTTAGTACGTCTACGGGGAATGCTGTGATCCGTGATATGAACAAACGCTGTGGGGCATCTGGGATCGTATTGCACCTTGTGGGCAAGACGCTCTACGTCGCAAACGCCGGACGATCGCTTGCTGTGATGTCCAGGCAAGGCAATGCTATGCTATTGTCTCGGCTCCACGACCCTTTCGCCCGCCCTGAGATCACGCGGATCAGGAATGCAGAAGGATGGGTCTCGCCGAAAGGCTACGTTAATGATGAGGTCGATGTTGCCCGCTCCTTTGGATTCTACAGCTTGTTGCCGGTGGTTAATGCGCGACCCCACATCTGTACATGGGACATCACTGCGCAAGATGAGTTTGTCATTGTAGGCAACTCGGGGCTCTGGGATAATGTTCCCTATCAAACTGCTGTGGACATTGCACGAAGCAATTGTGGCAATGCGATGATTGCTGCCCAGAAGCTTCGCGACCTCGCAATTAGCCACGGTGCAGAGGGTTCGGCTATGATTATGGTCATAGCGGTTGGAGATCTGTACCCTGCCAACGATGCTGGATCCATTCTTTCTGCGAAACCTACAAAACGCCCTGAGATCATTAACAGGGACATTTCGCGGCTGGGCGACGAAGTTCCGGCTCCTACTGGTCACGTTGCCTTAGTTTTCACAGATATCCGTAATTCGACACATCTTTGGGAGGTCAATGCTGGTATGCCAACTGCCATGATTCTCCACAACAACCTTCTTCGACGCCAGTTGCGGTTCTGTGGTGGTTACGAAGTCAAGACGGAAGGCGACGCGTTTATGTGCTCATTCCCAAACACCATGTCGGCGCTGTGGTGGTGTCTCAGTGTTCAAGTTCAGCTGCTATATGTCGATTGGCCACTGGAGATACTAGAATGCGAAGATGGCAAGGAAGTATATGATGTCGAAGGAAATCTGGTCGCTCGAGGGCTCTCAGTTCGGGTAGGCATTCACTGTGGCAAGCCAGTATGTGAGCCAGACCCGATAACTGGCCGCATGGATTACTTTGGTCCTATGGTCAATCGCTCTGCTCGTATCGAAGGGAGCGCGGCTGGAGGCCAAATAATGTGCAGCGCTGACGTCGTCCGAGAGATTAATGCACGGATTTTCGAGACTGAACCTCCCACACCATATTCGCATCTGGAACCGCCTCAAGTAGTTGATGCCATTCGTCGTATAGGCCTCATTGTTGTCCAAGTTGGGGAGGTGAAGCTCAAGGGGCTTGAAGTTCCCGAGATGCTCTCCATCGTTTATCCACAAGCGCTTGCCGGGAGGAGGGGGCTGAGTTTGGTGCAGACAACATCAAACCCTCCTGGTCGGGTGCAGTTCAGCATCGAGCAGATGGGCGAGCTGGCTTTGTTGTGCATCCGGCTGGAAATGTTATCAGCGGGGAAGACTTTCCGTGCAAGTAGCAATGCTCCAAATCAGGGTAACGAGGAGTCTGATTCCGCAGTATTCTCCCACCGCGAGCTCAAGGCGCTGCTGCCTGCGATGGACAAGGCGACTGATGCAGATCTCATGCTCTTGCTGGGCTCTCTCACCACGAGGATCGACAATGCTCTGACCAAACTCGCTGCGACCCGTCTTCGCGCGTGCAGGGATAAGGTTCCGTTAGCCGATGGTCTCGATGGTCGGTACCTGAACCAGCTCCTTGAGATCCTATGTCCATAGCTGCTACATTTCATTATTTATATCTGAGTCTTGCCCGCTGTTGTCTTGTACCATGCTATCGTGCACGCTGCGCTTTGATCTTGCTGGCATTATCCGTTATCATTATTCTGTAAGTTGCTGTACGCTGTTGTACGCTGTTGTTCAGATACTTGTTGTAGAGCCTATAGCATTCATGTGATTCACAAGTCATTGACACTTGTTTCCCATCAAGATCCTGAGTGGATTGATTCATGTAAGCAAGCACCGTAGCCATCGGGCCCGAGAGTAAGGAGGACAGTGGAAAGAACCAAGCACGTAATATCACGAAGATGTAATCCAAACAACATCATCCTCCTTCTCACCCTCCATACTGACAGTATCACTCTCCCCATCGCTACTAAGCGCTGCCCATTCGCCCTCGACGCGATTACCCAATGCAGCGATGCGTGCACCCCTCTGGCGCAAAAACGCGACAACTTCCCGAGCCGAGCGCCACCCTATGATCTGCACGAATGCCTCCACGCCTTCCTTCGTGTCCGCTTGTAGAGATTGCTCCTCGATATAGCCGCCGTATGCGCGTGCCAGGTGCGCTGATGCGCATACTTGCTTTCCTTCCGCGGCGGGACCCTTCTCGAGCTGAGCGAAGAGGGAAGCCAGAGCCTTTGCTGCTTCTGCACGGGCGCGGAGGACGTGTCGAATAAGGCGGCGAGTGGGCGGACGACGCCGTTTGTACGATGCGGAACGAGCTGGTGGGGCCGGCGGAATGACTGCCGTTTGTGACGGAATACGGATAGGCTTGACCTTGGACCGGTCGATCCACTCGTTCTCCGCCGGGATTAAAGGGATTGTATATTGCGCAAGAGCACTCATAGACATGTCCCATTTTTTTGGAATCCAGACACCCACTAGTATACGCCAGGCTGCAATCAGGCGTTTCGCCCTGGACAACCGTCAATTAAAATCCAAATCCTAGTCGAATATACTAACCGTTCGTAATTGTCTAAGATATGTCACGGTCATCTCTTAGTACATACGGAATGTATAATGTATAGTACTCACCGTTGACTAGCTTGTTGTGGTACATCGCAACCAAAGTGACTAGCGTGATAGATATCAGTGCACCGACAGAACTGTACCATAGAAACGCCCAGAGGAAGAAAAAAGTCATAGGATAAATGAGCAAGAGCAGCAGCAAGCCAAAAACAACCTTGTTCTGAGCCTGTGCTTCTTCCTCATCCTCAGCCAGTCGAGCACCAATCCGGGCAAAGAAATATGCCGGCGCATGAAGCAGCAGTGGTCCAATGAACAGTGGCAGCCGGATAAAGAGCGATAACGAGTCACGAATTAGGAGACTGAGCGTGAACAGTCGACTAGGAAGAGGGATAGGACGATGGGGGTCTAGTGTATCAGGGAGTGGTAGAGAAGCAAGTACCGAGTTGGTGAGTTTACTAGACTGGAGGAGAGAATAGTATGTGAGTAGCTGGCGTTTTATCGCAGCGGAGTTAGGGACTAGATCCGGCGTGGAAAATAGATCTACAAGGCTACAAACCCAAATAAGAGCCAGAAGCGTGTACACGACAAGGAGACGTACGTTTGTGATATCACCACGAAGTCATCGAGGTTGATGTTCCTCTCGTCATCCCACAACAAGTCGCGCGCCATTCGGGCAGCGTAAAGCGTATCCCTACAAACATTCATCGACCATTAACTATATTACTCGTATGAAAAAGTACTCACCAATCAGGAGCATTGATAGTAGCTTCAATGAGCTGTTGCTCAAGGGCAGCAGTCAAACGCTTGACTGCCGCCCTGGCAGCGCCTTCCTCTGACGACATGAACTGGTCCAAGAATGCATCCACAGGGATTGGAGGTCCAAATCTGTATCACCAGAGTGCTAAGCCTTGTTACGCAATACAGATTCGAGAATCTCACTCCATGATAGCCTAAGCAACGGGTCTCAGTATGAACGGGTGCAATGCTGTGTGCGAAGATACCTACATTACTGCGGTACTTGGTTTTGTTAGTATACACGATCGCTGCGGTGGCAATCATCACACGCTCAGCGCCTGACGCAATTTGGTCAGGGTGCTCCTTCGCTAATTTCGCGTACTCTAAAGCAGCCCAGGCAGCACCGTCCTTGACTTGCACGATCCGGGGTTCGGTGTAAGAGGTACCCTCCGGAAATACCGCGACGGCACCGCCATGAGAGAGTGCATGCAAAGTTCCGCGGAAGAGTTGCTTGCGGTCCTTGGCCTTGCGATCGACAGGAATGTTACCGGCGGAAGTGAGGATATACTTTACGACCGGGTTCGTGAACAGGGAGGCTAAACGAATAAGGCGCCAGCTGAGGGACCTTGATGATATTACGCACCTTTGGCCCAGAAGTGGAGAATACGCTGGTACGGGAACATGGTTGCTGGCATGACACGGATGAGCTTCGCTGACGCGAGAGGATGGAAAGCACGAACAGAGCACAGCGGGATCGATCATCATGTTATGATGGGTTGCAGTCCTGAGGGCATGACAGTCAAAATTTGGGCGTTGTCAGACATAGGAGAAAGGGGCGCAGCAGTTGCTGGCAAGGGGGACAGTCTCGGAATTTTTGTGCGACCTTGCGACAGACACTGCAGCAAAGCCAGGTGTGGGAGGACTTACACGACGACCGGACCCTTCCGAGGTACATTTTCGCTGCCAATTATATGAATTTCGGTGAAGAAAGCGACTAGTGCCCAAGCGGCAACGCGCCGCAGCAGTCGGTGTAGAATATAGGCGTCGGGCATCGTGAGGAGGAGGGAGACGGGGCGGAAGCAAGAAGCAGGAGGATGGGCGGGAGCAAGGAGGACAAGCAGGCTCGAGCCTCCGGGGCTGAACTGAGAACAGAGACTCAGCTGCCAGCTTCAGGTAACGTCAGTGCCCGAGCCCAGCGCGTCGGCACTTGCCATATGGGGACGCGCTAAACACCACCAAATACCCGCCCCGGGACACGCGACGAGCGCCTCTGTCCACTCGTCCCTTCCCTCTCTCCTCGTCGTCCTCCGCGATGCACACCATCTACGCGCGCATCAACAACACCTCCGCATTCCTCTCATCATGCGTAACGGCTCTACTCGTAGCGATCGCCCTGTCATCTCTTGCCTTCACCGCGGATCCCAAGGGTCAGCTTGCTGTGGCCTCGATCCAAGTGTAGGTCGCTCTCTCCCTTGTCGCGCCCTGCTCGACGTCTGTGCGGTGGCTCATGCGATCAACAGCCACCCCGGAAATGCTCGACGCTACGCGAATAAAAAGCAGGAGTTTGCCTTTGTCAATTTCAATGTTTCAGCCGGTACGCACCTTGTTATGTCTGCGAGGGCTGTATCCCATGTCCACGCGTGCTCAAAACCAGACCTCTCGCCTCTGTTTAACTGGAACACAAAACAGCTTTTTTTGTATCTTAGCGCGGAATACACTGACAAGAAGGGAGTGAGTATGCATTTAGATCTTCGTTCCCCCCTAGCGCAAGGGCAGCAACTTTGTCCTCATGGTAGACGCGCTAACGGATCTTCCTTGAAGGTCGCAAATGAAGTAGTCATATGGGACCGCATTGTCCGCCGCAAAGAAGACGCACTCATATCGACAACGGGCCGCAACAAGTATGTTTTCCGCGAGCTGAGCGCGTCGTTCAGGTGTGTAGGGTCTTCCCATTTCATCTACTTTCAGAATCTTCCCATTCGGACTGTCTCCGGTCATGGATTTGCATGTTGGCACAACCGGAACTCATCCCACGACAATTTGATGTGGTGGTTGCGTGTCTGGACGTGAGTGAGAGCAGCACAGAACGGCCCATTCCGACCTCAGGTTACTGTTACCGCTCTCTGCTCGAGGTGTCTAGTCACGCTCTCAGTCAGAATGCGATTCTTCGTTCGGTGGTGACTCCTGGTCGAGGGGACCTCGTTTTTGCAGGCTGCCCTCCTGCCGGACTTTGCGAGGGGCGCTGTTCTGTGTGCTCGCCAACCGTTAAGTTTATTGATCATCATTCTTAGGGACGCAAGTCCCACCGTGATAACCAGCTTATGCAGTGGGAACGGCATATGCCTAGCGCTACACATATTCCTGAACATTTTATGCTGTCGAACTCAAGCGCGCAAATTGTTCTTCTTCTCAACGAGTATCTCATCTACTATCCGGCCTCCCGCCAAGGGGTCCAGACGGACTGGCACTGATGCTCCATGTCGGCGGAGCATGAATATATTATGAATTTCTAGGCTTCAGTGTTATGAGCCTTGGCTTTAGCAGCCCTAGCCTATTTCCCGGCACTGGACCGAAGTAGCTATCTCATATCCTACGAATTTCTCCCTTCATGAGTTTGTGCATATCCTAGGCCTTACTAATCTCAACTGAATTTATTAGGAACATTCCTCCTGCAAATTACTCTCTCAAGTATAATGTCATGCCGTACGTCGGTGTGCTCACGTACGGCGAGGCTGCACGGACGCCACAGCCTGTTGCATTCCCCGAATTACAAAGTCTGTCATAATCGTCTAGCGCAGGAAGCTTTCACGGTTTGGGATATCGGGTGCATATGGCACAGGGCCTGCTGCCGCGTTTGATTCCCAAAGAGGCACATATGACTACCTTTGTATCTGGGACTGCTGCCTAAATTATTATCGATGAAAACGGCATTTCAACGGCCATTTCCCAATGTGCAATGAGCGGATTCGGATCTGCGCTCAATCAGAAACTTTGATAACGCCTTCTTCTAGTGCATCGACTTTCCAGAAGATAATACTTGTGCCTCGCACAGAGCTCTCGGATCCCGCCAGGTGATACGGGCCATTGAATACACCCATAGCTGAAGTCCAGACTATAAATATGAATTCCGAGTGGAATTGCTCTCTGTATGTAAGGCGTTACTTATATCCGAAATACCTTTAATGTACGTTCGTATAATGATCCCCCTCATTGCTCATCTATTCAGCAGGGTAGACAAGACCGTGGCTGTCTACGTAGATAACGTATCCCCATGTCGATATCGCGCGCGTCTTCGAACATCAAGGAATTTGTCGGCATCGTCACTCTCACCCCCAAGTAGAAGGCGCCGAAGTATGAATTTCCCACTTCTACGAATCCGAAGTGTTCGCGTGCTGGTGTGCGGCTTGATGATTCTCTTCTTGTTTGTACGTTTCAAGAATTTCCTGCAAAATTTTACAGAAACTGACGGTCTCCCGTCCTGCCATATCACGTGTAGTTGCTATGTTTCTCACTTCTCACCGGTGAATTCGACTGATTTAGGCCTCTGGGTAAAAGCCGTCCGCCGACATCGCCCAGATACTCTTTGCCAATTTCTGGATCCCATCTCGTTTTGTCTTCCCGGTGAATGCTCTCCACCGACTCGCCAGGAATTCCTGGCGATGAGGTACATTAGTTTCGAACTTGCTGGCATCCTCTTTATCGCCATCCGAAGCCGTTCTAACGCAGACCGTGTACATCACGCATTATTCATGTCCTGTGCACTTCCTCTCGCAATACTCCGCACGACTTCTGTTGGGCAGCGCGAGATGTTGTATCAGCAGAAATCACCGGAGTACGTGCTGTTCTACCGATCGATTGGCCCAGGCTGCCTTCGCCTCAACGGTATGCGAACCAAACTAGTATTCGTGCTCCAGCATATCGGTTCCTGCTGACTTACCTCGAGCTTTCTTCTGTTTGCAGCTTGCTTGCCGGAGCAGCTGGCGCCTCGGAGCCTACGGCGGCCTACCTTTGGCCTCGAGATCTTTTCTTGTTGGCCCGAGATATACAGAGCATCCGATCGGATGGATATCTCTTCCTGTATGCGATCTTCTCCCTTGCTCGGATGGGACCCATGTAGGGTTTCTAGTCCGTACGGCCAGGTCCATGCCGCTGGGCTGCCAACTATTTCGCTTTCGACTTGCTGAAGCACGCGATACCCTACATGCATATTTCACGCTTGCGACATGTTCCTTTCACGTGTCTGCCTCGAGGCTCAACTTTGAAGCCTATTCGGACGGCTAGATTGTCCTGGGAGATTATGAGTGACGTCGCACAAGGCCGCATCTGGAAACAAGGCGCTCATAGGATGCAGCCGAAGCCCGGTTGTCGCATCGATTGTGCGAATGCGTCTGATATTCACATGATAGAATGTGTGCCGTAGCCTTTGAGGCTGAACGGCATCGACACAATCTCTATTCCGAAGACCCCCAAGACCTACGAGCTCGAAACGCATTGCTCCACTTCATTTCGCAAACTCCCGTAGGTCACGTCTGACTTAATGAATTGCCTCCGTCTCAAACGCCTGTTGTATCGCGCCTGAACTCTGTCAATTTGTTGATGGACCACGACCGGCGCATGCGAAGTAGTTCCTGAACAGTCTTAGGCCGTATGATTCGGCTCCATGTCGCCATCATAACGACAAGCGATATCGCAGACCCGTAATTGTCTTTGTATTGTAGACATCGATGAGCGCCCTCGATATTGAGTGTGAGTAAAATTTCTGCAAAAATCTGCCCTCCTATGAGCGGGCCACTGACCGTAATTCTCTCACAGTGTGCTTCCTTTGGATTCAGTGCCTCGTCATGTCACGTAGAGTAGGTTTTGCTGCACACGTTTGTCCGCCGACGCGCCCATTCAACCCACAAGCTCCGCGAATCTGTCAGACAATCATCTCGTCAGAGAATCTGCACTCCACGGGGAAGGAAGATAGCTAAATCACGCTACCACTACTCGAGACCGAACCATGCCATTTGGGGAACAAGGGGTCCTTCATAGAACTTGCGCTAACCCTTGTCTAGCGCATCCAGAACATTGGATAGTTTCATCGATGTGGAAGATATGAACTTTGTTATCGGACAATTGGTATGTGTGCCGAGTGAAATGATCCGGATGTGGAACTCACCGAGTCGCAATGTGCAACCAGAAGTGCCATTCTTCCAGGACAGGCTTGTCATCAAAGGTTGGCTTTCGCACATGTTATAAGAGTGAATCTTGGCACTTCGCTCATTGACGCCATCCTGTTTCAGCTGCAAGACGGTCAGGAGAGACATAGAGGCGGAGCGAGGGGCGAGTATGCACACGCCTTTGACCGCGACGTTGCCCGATCTCCTACATAGCAATGGAGGCGTGGGGGTGCATGCACGCACTGGTGGCACATGTCGCTGCCGAAAAAGCCATTGTATGGTCACAGTGGGATCAGCGCCCAGCCTACTGAGCAGACGCTATAATGTGAGACCGCATGTCGAGTTCATTATGCAACGAGTATAGCAAATACGAACCCAACGACTGTGGCGCGTGTGCTCCCAGTAACTGTTCTACCAGGTCGGATGAAAGGCACGAGTGGAGAAACGTTGGTGAAGCGTTGACAGAACTAGAGAATCAGAGCGATTCACTTGTGAGACATTGGGGCCGTATGCATAAAGGACTGGCGTCAAGACGAAAGCTGTAAATAGACAGCTGGATGCTGGATATCACCGTGAGTGCACGGGCTGGCTCGAATGGGTACCAGAAGCACCTCCAATGACCAGCATGGCGATAACAGCAGTTAGAATGGCGAGAATGCCCAGGGCCACCGTTCTATATTTCTCAGGTTCTCTCATTGCGTCAGACTAGACCATGCAGAATCATTAAGAACTAAATGAGGCCATATTGTCGAAATTGTGCAACGAGGAGAACTCCCGAGTGTGGCGCGAGGCAGGCGTGGCTGCGGTGCAGGATAAGCTTCGATAAAATGCGGGTACGTGTTTTCGATTGTATTTCGGTTAATGACGGAGGAAATAGATGATATGCAACAGTTGCGGGCATCAGATGACTTGGTTCAGAGGTGCTCCCGGCCACAATTCCGGAGGCGCTAGATGGTATCCAATCGCCCATCCTGCCGCGCTAGCGAGCCCAAGCCCGCAATATAAAGGCGAGGAGGCCCTCCATATCACACGCGCCCTCTCTGCCCCCAGTCGTCGCCAACCGCCCGCGACCCCGACCGCTCATCCTACTGACCTGCCTTCTTTAGCAGTCGCTGACTGGAATGACTTCCCATTTACTTCCGCCTGGCGCCATCAGCGATGACTCCTCCGACTCCGATAGTCCCGCTACTCCGTCCGTCGAGATATTCCCACCTTATTACTATTGGAATTCGCCAGCGCACGATGTTGAACACGCGCCCCAATTCGTCGACCGTGTCGCAGCTGGTGTCCAAGTGGCGCCGTTCGGATATGGGCAAGAATTCCCCGCCACTGACTTTGCGGTGTCGGACGGCGGAGTCGCCTTCGGGGACGTGAACCGAGCCGGCTATCATTTATTGGATTCAACCTTTGTTGATGCTTCGAGCAAGGTCCGTAAAGCGCTCTCCCGATTTTGTGGCGATCTCACTCAACTTTGGGGTCAGACTTTCTACAACCCCTCAGTTCCACTTTTGTCGGCTGATCTTCGAGCAAGCCACGATGGGTCGCGGTATAACGAAGCTGTACCTTGTCTCGACGCCACTCTCTGGTCAAGCGGTCAGTATTCTAGCGATTATTACGATCACTTAGGGCAAGACTACACACGACCCCACGATTTGGACGCGCTGAATGAGGTATCGGAGAGAAATATCTTGCGTTGTCATGCAACACGAACACTAGAGAATTGGCATCATTCGAACAGATATGCTGGCTACTCTCGTGAATGTACTGGCTCTCAGTCTCATCCCAATCTCAACCGCGCGCCGCAATCAACAGGCAGTGGATACGTTCACGACCAATACTACGGATACGGAGAACATGTAAACGACGGATGTCTTCCCGACGGCGACGTTATGGACGTTCCTGCGATGTATTATACCTCGGTGAGTTGCATGTTGATTCCACCCTGCCGTTGATTGGTCCGTGCTAAATGGTTTGACCAGGATGTTGGCTCTCCAGTGTCACAAGGCGATTGCTTCCAAGACCACGAACTGGGAGTCGTGAGCCCGTCAGATCCAACGTCGCATTATTCCTCAAGTCAATTTGACCGTGGAGCTTGCGGGACAGCAGCGCTGCAAGCTCACAATCAAGCTTTCGGCAGTGTTCGCGCAACAAATAATTTCACGCCATGCGGCGAGTCCATGAACACTCTAGGTGCGTCTGGCTGGCCGACATTTAACTTCGCCACTCACGGGGCACAGACCAGTACAACAGCTTCGGGACCGAGGCTGTCCGAATGCGTTCCGCGGATGCTTATTCGCGCCCGCAGTCTTCTGTCGCAATGCCTCCGCTGGATCCAAACGTGTTGTATTGTGATCGCGGTCTTCCTTCACATAGAAGCATTGATTGTGACCCCGGTGACCGAGTGCCTTCGCCCCCACGCCGCTCGTATGTGTTTCCGAGATTCGATCGCAACAATATATACGAGCATCCACCACCGGATCTGTCGCACATCCACGCTCCTCAGCCGCAGGCTCACCACGCCTTGGCGCATGGTGTGAAGCATGAGGCCACCGACGAGCCACTCTTAGAGACACTGCCTTCATCATCTCGCACGCTGCTGATTTCTGGGCCATCACCAGCACCCGCTCGCCTTGCGGCAACCCCGGAGGAAGACACTCCAAAGAAACCTCTCACTCTTGCATGTTTCTTTTGTAGGAAGCGCAAGATCGCTTGTGGGAGTCCGCCTCCTGGTCGCAAAGATCGGACATGCAAGTACGTCGCTTTGAAATGCTTGCCATCTTAAATCTAACGTATGACTGTGCAGCCAATGTGCGCGTCGGAAGCTGAAATGTGTGTACCCGGAAGTGTCGCGGCGCGGCATGAGACCTAAGCTGATGTATGAGAAGGACTCGTTACCCGTACATATTCCTGTAATCGTATCGTGAGTGCTGTGCCTCATCCTGCATTATGACTTGCGCATCGCAATCATCGCGCCTTCCCGTTACTCGTTAACCATCCCCTAGTACCCGTTGACTGTACATACACTTATAATGATATCCTGCACGTTATTGGATCCACTCAGCTTGTACATTTGTTAATGCCTTGCACACCACGATGTCTGATAGAACATGTACGTGTATCACTGATAAGTGTGTATCCCACAATCTACACTTTATATGTACTATACAGAAAAGTCGAACAATCCTAAGTCCGGAAGCAACGTGAACCGCGCCCTCGCAAGTCCAAAATGGAGTCGAATACAATAAGTCAGCGGAAAGAGATCTGGGACCAGCAAGCATTAATGTCTGCTGGTACTCGAAACCAGTCGGATACCGCCGTCGGATCGCCCTCTGCTCTCTTCATCGTCTGATTCTCGTTGCCAGAGATGCTCACTCTGCTCGCGGTCATCGTCAGGCGAGCCGGACGGGTATCGTCTGCCGCCTGGCGAACGCCAGAATGGGTGATGGTGGTGATGCGGCGGTGACTTGGTGCTGCGTCTGTCGATCGGTGACATTTCGTCGGGTGTAAAGGTTCCACCGACTTTGGCAGAAGGGGGGTGATCAAAAATATCATATGCTTGGGCGTGGCGGTAAGGATCATTGCCGTCGTTTCCACCAAGCATAGGAGGTGCAGTCCACATGCCGGTTTCGCCCCGAGCTTCCTCAAGCGAGGGATCTGTAGGGAAAGCGACGACTTGCGCATCAAAGTCGGACTTCACGTCAGCCTGACAAAATCAGCATTAGACTTAAAACCAGAAAATTGTGAGCGAACTCACGGGCTGTTCGGGAGGGCTCATCGAATTATGAGATGCATTCCTATGCTCATGTTTGGATGTGTTGTCGCCAAATCCAGGGACAGAATAAGAATGTACGACATCTTGACTGTCGAATTTGATGGTCTGCTTCCGTGCGCTAGGTTGCGGTGAACCCAGCATGGTCGGCTGACTAGCCATAGAGTAACGATCGGCGTCCGCGTCTGGGACACTCAGCTCTGACACAGATGGCACAGGAGCGTCCCACAATTGATGGCGCTTCAAACCTGCGAGTGGATCGGCCCCAGGGTACGCCGAAGGAGCGTTGCTATATCGAGAGCGCGCTGAAGCGGTAGCTCGACTCGACATACTCATCCGATGTGCACTCCTAGCACGTATAACGCTTCCAACCATACCGAACCCTCCGCGAAGTGCATCGATTCCGGGATCCTCGACGGCAGCCAGGCTCTTCTCGTCTATCCCTTCAGTATCTCGCCTCGCTGCTTGCAGCAAGATAGTAGATCGGCGATCCAATAACTTGATCTGCGTAGGGTCAACCTTGGAAAGCTGGAGGATAGTGATGCCAAAGCAAATGACAACGAAACCCATGACAAGTGTGATGATTTGGGTGGCGCTGGCTTTCAGACCTTGGAACAGCACTATGGTGGTGAGGATAGAGAAGAACGTGACTGCAACCGTGCGTAAGATATTTGTTGCGCTATCACAAACAATGCCACTGACATATCACATAGTATGTTGGAGTCACTATCAATGAACATGAGTCTCGCACAACTCTAGATAAAATATAGCAGATTGGTACTTACCCATCGCTAGGAGGAAGAGAGGGCTTAGGTATAAACATATACGATCGAGCCATAGATAGACACACCTGTGTTGAAGAGCGCCAGCGCCTTATTCAAGTAATACACCTCCGTGACTGTGGAAAGTACTTTAGCTTTATTGTCAACGACGCGAATACCGACCCACTTAATGTTACAGCAATGAAAGCCATCAGGAAATAGATAAACCAGTGCTTGAACTAGAAGATAGTTGAGCTGAATCCGCGTGGAGATAAACTCGGCGACAGACCTGATTATCGCCCATTGCAGTCGTCACAATTGCAGACCCAAGCCCAGTCGTAACACTGACACTAATGCCTCCAATCATACTACAAACCATGATGTACCACAGCATGCTCTTGGTACCGTAACTGGAAGCGAAACGTCAGGCTATAGAACATGAGCAGGAACGAATCGAACAAACCGAGGAGCAAAAATGAATATTATGGAGAGTGAGGCAGCAATCAGTATGGAGCCGTATACAAGGAACCCCGGTGCGAGGAACATTGATTGAAATTGAGTGATCTGGCCGACGGAAGCCTCCTGGGGTCCTGTCTCACGCAACGGGCATTAATTTGTGCGGCAGAGACAGAGCAAAGATAGGAGGACAAACCGTTAAGCCCAATGATAACTGAGCCAATCTGTCAAATCAGGACAAGTGAAACTTCGAACATTACGGGTAGGGAGAGTGCACATACGATGCATAATCCACATCCCAACCATCCGAAAAAGCTCAGCTTTTCCTGCAAGAAGAAATGGGACAGTATGGCACAGATAACGACGGAGAGTGCGCCCATGGGAGTCTTGGGAGTCATAGTCAAACATAGATTTCGAAGAGGACCGGCGGGAACATACGACGACTATGGCCTCCACGAATGCGTATGCTACAAATTGATTAGAGCGAGAATGTGAACCGTTCAGATGGGGTCATACCAACGAAGTTGCAAATCTCGCCGAGGATCATCACTACGAAAGTAGAGGTAGGAATCAATCCCATAGGTGGCATATAGAGACGTACTGATCATTCCTGTCCACCATAGCGGCTTAGGAGAGCTTTAAATGAAAGTAATAGATGAAGGAAGTGGAATACGAACCGATTTCAAATATGCCACACCCTCTCCCGCAACAAGTCCTTTCTGCGACCTGAGAAGTCCTCTCTTCTTGAAGACAAAGCTAGTACCAATGAGGACGCCGCTGGATATCGCAAGAAGGATGCCAACAATCTGGAAGCACAGAACCATCAGGATGAGACCCCAATGGTTATGAGCGAAGGGAGAGCAACGAGCCTTCAGGTTGCCGGGAATGGTGAGAGTGCCGGAGACAGCAGAGGAGGCGGAGGCGGCAGCTTGAGAGGTGGAGGTTGGAGAGAGAGAAGAGGAAGACATGGCGGACACTAGAGGAGGATAGAGTAAGTCGCAGGGTGAAAGCCCCGAGCCAGCAGGAGAAAGTCGAAATGAGGATGCAGTGGAGTTTCCGTCGCCGACTTGGTCTCTGCTCAAGCCTCGTGACGCCCGGCCTGCGTTGCTACTCCGGCGTCCCCGGCCGGCGCCTCCCCACACAGCATCCCCGGCCGGCATTCGCCTCCGACCCCGGCGCAGCCCCTGGTCATCCCATTCACCACATCCCGTGCGCTCCGGCCGGCGACCTGTTATCTGCTTTTGCTACTGACCAGCTTTCTTGCGTTATTGCATAGCACCACTGGTGAAACTCATCAGAGATGGACAAACTGTGATACGACACTGCCTTTTCCAATATATTCTCCTAACCTAGGCAGATGACCTAACTTTAACCATGGGTACCTTGATCACCAGTCGATACTGCATATGCATCAAGACGGCTGATTTACACCACAGATTCACTACAGCTCGCTCAAGGCGGGGCGGTATCAGCACTATGTATGTAAGTATCTAGAAACACTTTGTCACTTTGCGCATTCGGAATTGAACGCCGCAGCATGCCGCGTGTGCACTGCGCAGCCGTGAATTTGACATCTCTGCGTCAGACCCGGGTTGGAACTTGGCAATGCATTCTAGGCTTGGAAGTTTACAAGGTGCGCTCGCACCTCAAGTTACAGCTGGTAGATCATCAGTAACATTGCCTCACTTCAAACCCGCCAATTCTTGCATCGGCCACAAGTTTATCGCTATATGTTAGGCGTTGGCTGGTATTCACGGGTTGCAGTCTCACTTCTCACAATTTACAGCAATTTGGTACATAACCAGAAGGCTCAAGTAGTAAATATCCTGTCCGAGAGCGCGCGCAATCACACTCGTTTCCAAGCCTCAAAGTCACTTTCATCGTCGTCCTCAACGACACGTTATATTTCCCAAAGCTTATGCCGACACCCATTCTGTCTCTACAGTCTTGAAGAAAGACACGTCAGGGTTCACATGGTTCGAGTTGGCATCCTCCTCGCCGGTTCTATGATCTCTTCTGAGCCCGTCTTGCAGCATCTGCTCACGAACAATCCTTTCCAACCACCCCGCATCTGGAGCGTCACCATTTCTGCAAGCCCAGTTGTCCACTTAATCCCGTCGTCTTAGGTCTGCGTCTACATTCCTGTCTTGATGTTGTATGCGGCTTCTCTTTTAGGATATACCACGAAGCAGGAAGCGTAACCGCTGTCCTTGCTGCAAATCCTTTTTAAAATGCCTGTCAACTCCGCAAGTAGACTGGTTCAACAACGGAGAGTCAGTGCAGTTTATCTCAGCTCCCTATGGTACGCATAGACATGCTGCTTATTGTCCGTCTGCTGTTCGCATCGCTGCATCTATAATCTCCGAAATCTGCACTTTCTCCTCCGGACTTCCGCTCCTCTGGCAATTCGCCCTCCCAATATACGGTTGTAATCCGCTTTGTGTCCTTCTCATCTCTGCTTAGCTCATCGTTCAAGTTTTGAAGGTTTGTACCGCCTTTCGAATTGCCACTGCCACTCTTTTCGACGGCATTATTTCAAGCACCAAGTAGTCCACTGTCGTCCACATCTTCTATGAACACTCCCAATCTCTCCGGATGGAAGGAACTAGGGCCGTCAACGGCTGCCCGCTTCTTCGCTCTTCCTTCTTCTCAGTCGTCAAATGTGTTCTGGTTCGTGCTTCTAGTGACGTACTCTTTTGAACCATATGACCATACGGTATCGGGTGGCATTCATCAAATGCTTGTGTCGGCGACTACATCTGGCTGAATGGGCCCAGGGGGCAATGTGATTTTGACGTCCTTTCGCTTCTCTCTCTTATTCAAACTACCCGGCTCATCGACAAATCTTCTTGTCTCTGCGGCGAGCTGTACAGCCTATCGTATGGTTTTTTCCAGCCCCATAGGTAGTCATCGATCGTGAAGGAGCGAGCATTGTACGTAGCTTGGCCGAATACCCGTTGCATTGTCTCATATCAAGCAATCGACGGCCTGAATTTCAGGCCAGCAGAATTTGTGATTGAAACAAAGCAGCATAAATGGGAGAGATACTTATGACCACGAGAAGTGCCCGTGAGGACTTGAAAGTTTGCGAATCCTGGAGTCATAAAGTCTCAGGCAGTGAATGCTGTGATGATCGTATGTTAACACTACCGACACAGGTACCGGAGGCTTTACGCTTGTGCTCATTAGATTTTATGCAAATCGCATTCGGACGTCCGCCGTTGCAAGCTGTATCCAGTCAGTTACCTAGAGATGCGATTCGAGAGAGTCCGTGGCTAGCGTGCTTAGCAGCAGAGAACGAGAGTATCAGCTGTTATCAGGGATACAGTCACTGTAAGCATGAGTCATGAGTTTTATAGCTAGTGGCACGGTAATACTGTCATAGACACCTGAGATCCTAAGGTGCGACGTGCCACTGAGTTGTCTGGTATGCAACCACAAAGATCCAGTGAGCCAGTGCGGAATGAGCACTGAGTGCTGAGCGGCGGGGCTGAGAATATTCACCACCATTGGAAGCATTATCGGGAAAAGCCAATCGACTACATAGTACTTATACGCCAAAAGGCCACATTTGCTTTATTTGCCTGGATTGTAGCCCATCACCATGGATGGCGAGGCCGCCGCACGAGAGAACAGGGAGGTATGGGCGGATGGTTGAGTACATCCGAATCGCTATAGCCGCGCAACTTGACTCGGAAGCGGCACAATAATACGCCCTGGCCACTGCATACTTACGGTCAGGTCGATGTCAATTTGTTGTATAGAAGACGACTCGGAGTTCAGCTCAGGGAAACAGCACGCACATGACGTAGGCAATTATAGTCGATGCTGGTCGCAGAGAGACGAAATCTGAATTTAATTAAGCTGAATTGTGGCCCATTCTACATGATACTCCCGTTCGATCACTATCGCGCCCTCGACACGGCCGCCATCGACGGCCAGACGACATCCTGCGACAAACTCAATCGTCCACGAGCAAGAGCTACTCCCAAAGTTGAACTTGCTGTGCGATATCGGCCATGCCTCTCTCACCGCTTGCGATGACGACTCGTATATGCAAATCAGTGTCTCATGTCACACCGATCCTTCTGCTGTGATCCTCCTGGTTTTCAACTGTTGTCAGCCTGAGCCATTCGGATAATCACGTTCCTCCAACAAATTATACTCAACAGTGGCAGCCTGTAGCATCCACCGCATTCGAGAGACTTGGATGCAAGATACTCTCACTGTATGCAGGGCTATGAGCTTTGACTGTGTGCTGGGATCTGGAGATGAATCATGAAGACCGTACGCTACAATTGCCATGCCAGAATTCTCCTGTCAGCGTCTAACGACCCACAATCAACATGCGATCTTCGACAGCTGTTGTCTCCTTATACTACTCTCACACTCTCGCTTGTTATTGTATCCGCGTCGCTGTGCTAAGTTGGTGTATCTTTCTCGTGCTAGGGTAATGTACTGACATGATGGACAGACTGCGAATTTATCTGACTTCGATCCGCGCAGGTTGCTTGATGCACGATGGAGGCCGAGTTGTCTGGCGTGGTGACGATCACCAACGCTTTGTATCACAACAGAGTGAGGATGCCCAATGATAATGACGCCAAACCAATAATCTGTGTCGTTTCATCATCGAAAGTTCCACCTCCCAAAGGAGAGCTGGTGCCGTGCTTTCACTGATTCCCAATGTATCAATCCACTGACATCTATGCCAACCTTCAGTGGAGACTTATACCTGGAATGGCTAATCGCTATCAAGTCAAAAATATCCAATTCAACAATGCCGCAGTAATCCACCCCCCCCTACAAGGCGGAAACACAAGTGCTTGGATCGGATAGCGAGTATTGGTGGTTTATCGAAAGAGGAGAAGAAGTAGGGTTTGGGCGAGATGCTTGTATGTTCTTCGCTCTCATTCGACTCACATATATTCAGGGACACTGGCTTGTCGAGCAGCATCCGACCTGATGAGAGAAGGGAGTTTTGCTGGTATCTCAGTGTCAGGTCAAATAGAACTCCGGTTAAATTTCAGCCGTTACCGCACCTTCTGTTCACTCAGCTGACGATCTCAAAACTAGGTAGGGCTTCAATGCTCTTCGATGGATCGTCGAAACATGTGGAAGGTACGAAGCCTCGTGTATCCTTCGCCCAGATGCTCACATTTTTGGGCAGATTGCGCGGCATCGTGACCCCGCCATAGACACTAGCGCGAGTGATATGAACCGTTCACCCAAAAATGATCGTAGATGTGCCTACATTCCCAGCTTCGTCACTGCAACCATTGGTGATTTTTGACTCCGATTTTGATGGGCTCGTAGAGGTACGTACCCAGGACTAAAGTATTCGTTCTGAGCCTCATCTTCAACAAAGGATACTGCACCTATATTCGACATCTTCAAATATGCATCCGAGGTTGGTCAAACGAGATCTCTCTACATTCAAGGCGAGACTTCTGATAATGAAACAGATGATTCTTGATCAAGTTCATCGGCATCAGGAGCTGTTCAGTCTGCTCAAGTTCATAGCAGATATTTACGGTTATTTGAGAGCTGATAAAGACATTCTCGGCAATCCATTCATGGAAGGACGACTGGTCGTAGAGAAGCTGACGCGACAGTCACTAGAATGCGCTGATTTCATCGCCCATTATTCGGAGAAAATCGTGTTCTGTAAGTTTACCGCCAAAATCTTTCGTTTTCTAATCTGATTTCTATTACAAAGGGAATAAGCTGGGCAAGGACATCGATCGTGAAACTCGTACGACTATTCAGCGCTTTCAAGAAACTCTCAGCAGTCTCATGGAGCAGATTCGGCGTCGTACCTTCAATGAGATTTCAGCTCCCATTTACAGAGGGGGTACGTAAAAAGTGTTCTCTGTGTCGGCAGTCTGTGGCGCTCAGCTTGTATGATACAGCTCTAGATGTTGACCTGAGTGGCTTGGAGTATGTCACTGGGGCTGGGGTTAATGAATCGAAGCAGTGTCTCCCCGGTACTCGAAGAGAAATCCTGTCGACGATCCAGGACTGGATTCATACTAAGAAAGAGGACGCGACGAAGATTTTTTGGCTGTCCGGGATGGCGGGGAAGGGCAAGTCTGCGATCGCACACACGATAGCTCGTTTGTCACACGAACGTGGAAGTCTCGGGTCTTGTTACTGCTTTGATCGCACGCGATAGGGGAATTATCACATCAAGATATTCAAAACCATGGCGAAAGACTTGGCCCGCCATAACCCTCTCGTGCGTCGGGCGTTGGCGCGTGCGCTTCACGAAGATGATGAACTCAAACATACCCGAGATCTGACGCAACAATGGGCGAAACTGATCGTAGAACCAATCCGAGAAGCGTGGAAATCCATTCGCACGCCTGTGTTGGTCGTCATCGACGCCCTGGACGAGAGTGGTGCAGAGGATACTCGTAAGTTGTTACTTCAGCTGGTCTCTGGCAAGCAAACTGGTGCTTTGATTCCTCTTCCACCAAATTTCCGTATACTTATCACTTCTCGTCCACTTCCCGACATTTACAATGCTTTTCACAGACAGCAGTTTGTTCAACACGTCTCCCTGGATGACATTGCGTCAGAGTTTACCCTACGTGATGTGGACCAGTTCATCGCCGCGAGGTTGGGAGATCTGCGCATCTTCCAGGCTCAGCACTACGCGGCGCTTGCACAAAAGTCAGGCGGCATCTTCGAATGGGCTCGTCTCTCCTGCGAATATATTACGAAACAAAGTTCGATGGGGCTTACCTCAAGCAGCCGATACGACGCTGTGATTGCAGGAACGTCTACCTAAAGAAGCCTGTTGGATAAGATGTACAGGTAAATCCTGACAGAAGCCATGCCCAGTGAGGAGCATGTGGATGCTCTTCCTGTGTTTCGTTCTGTTATGGGGCAAGTCCTTGCGTTGCTGGAGCCGCTCTCGAGGGCATCTTTGACTGCAATACGACGACGCATTCTGCCAAAGGATGGCGCGAACGTGGAATCGGTGATCTGCCCTCTAGGTGCACTTCTCACTGGCATCATGGATGACCGAACTCCCATTAAACCGCTTCATGCATCGTTCTACGATTTCCTGACGGATAGAAGCCGGAGTGGCGAGCTCTTTGTTGGTGAATCCACGACGCACCACCAAAATCTGGCTTTTGCCTCGCTCCGCGTCATGAAAGACGAGCTGCGCTTCAATATTTGCGATCTGGAGAGCTCTTACTTACCGAATTCAGCTGTGACCGATCTAGAAGAACGCATCAACCGATCCATCTCCCCTGAGTTGCAATATTCCTGCCGATTCTGGACCTTCCATGTCAACGCTGCGAGGTTTGAGCGTTCCCTTGCAACAGAAATAGAGTGCTTCCTTACTAATGACCGCGTGCTTTTTTACCTCGAAGTGCTGAGTCTCACCCAGGCACTCATTGGTACAACATGGGCACTATCTTCGATTATACCCTGGTTCAAAGTGCGTTCATTTTATGATCTGCCAGCCATGGAAGATAATGCTGTTGTTACAGGATGAATATTATGCGCAGACTAGGAATATTCTTACGGACACTGAACAATTTATACAGAAGTTTACAGCACCGATTCTGCGAAGCACGCCGCATCTTTACCTATCCGCTCTCCCATCTTCTCCAACTTTCTCTTTGACGTTTCGGAAGAATATTGTCAGATTTCCAGGAGCGGTCAGAATTGCTGCTGGATCAATGAGTATGTGGCCATCACTTCAGAAGGTGATATACGGGCATAGATCTTGGGTCAGATCTGTCGCAATCTCACATGACGGACGGCGAATAGTGTCTGATTCGTCTGACAAGACCATCCGGGTGTGGGACGTGGACACTGGACGACAACTGGGTGGCCCTCTCCGGGGTCATACATCCTGGGTCACATCTGTCACCATCCCGCGCGACGGCCGGCGGATTATTTCCGGTTCGTCTGACAGGACCATCCGAGTGTGGGATGCAGACACAGGGCAGCAACTGGGCGGGCCTCTCCGGGGTCATACAGACTCAGTCACATCCGTCATGATGGCCGGTGAATCATGTCTGGTTCGTCTGACAAGGCCATTCGAGTGTGGGACGCGAACACGAGGCAGCAACTGGGTGAGCCTCTTGAGGGCCACACGGGCTCGGTCAGATCTGTCGCAGTCTCACCCGATGGGCAGCGAATTGTTTCTGGATCGTCTGACAAGACCGTTCGAGTGTGGGACGCGGACATGGGGCGGCAACTAGGCGAGTCTTTCAAGGGCCATACATCCTCAGTCAGATCTGTCGCAATCTCACACAATGGCCAACGAATCGTGTCCTGTTCGGATGACAGGACCATCCGAGTGTGGGATGCAGAGATGGGACAGGAATGGTGCCGGCCTCTCCAAGCCGATATGCTAAGGGTGAACTCTCTCGCAATCTCGTATGACGGCCGGCGGATCGTGTTCAGTGTTTCTGACAACACCATCCGAGTGTGGGACGCGGTCACAATGCAACAACTGGGCGAGCCTCTCGCGGGGCATACAGACGTGGTCGGTTCGTTTGCAATCTCGCACGATGGGCGGTGAGTTGTGTCTGGTTCGAGTGATATGACCATCCGAGTGTGGGACGCGGATGCGGGGCGACAATTGGGCGGACCCCTCGAAGGTCATACATCCTCGATCATATCTGTCGCTATCTCATACGAGGGCCTGCGAATCGTGTCTGGTTCACATGATAAGACCATCAGAGTATGGGGCAAAACCATCGGTATGCTTCTGCCTTGACCTGGCTGTCAAAGATATACTGATGAAATTGAGTGCTTAGCAGTCAGAACCTCACTAGAAAGCGAAGTGACGCCGTCTGAACTTCCAATCTCCATCGTGGTCGATGCTTCGCGGTCGAATATACTTCCTTCCACGGGCGCGAGTGCACTGAACCTCAAGTCATACGTATCCTCCAATTCGCACATCCGCGGTCATTTTCTACACAAGGTGGTGGAATGGACACGAAGACAGATAGCCCGATTAGTTCCTCGCGGGCGGAAACTTGCTCATTCCAGGTTTCGATGGCAAACCCTGAGCGAGGATATGGCTTGCACTTGCAACTTCAATAATCCAGATCAGAACACCAATATTGATACAGTGGCTCTGTACAATCGTCCATTGTGCTACTTATCGAATTTGGGGCACGCCTTGAACTTCCCGGCTTCATTTTGGGGAGATGCTCCACCTTCTGTTATCATGCCAGACCAGGATGGGTGGATTATTGGCCCCAATGGCCAACTTCTGCTCTGGGTGCCAATCCAACTCATGGAGCAGCCACTAATTTATGCGTCGGGCAATGCTCTAGTGATCCCTGATGGTGCGTTGCAGCTAGACCTGAGTCAATTCACCCATGGAGAGGCCTGGTATAAATGCTATGATCCCGATGCTGTGTGATTGAGTGCATATGCTTCATACACTGTGGATAGGTAGGGTGTATTTATTTTTCATTTTGTATTTGGTCACTGTATTTTCCAACCGATTAGCTTGAGACTTGGCTAGCGCTGTTGAGATCACTGGGTTTCTGTTTCGTGGTGCCCGGAAGTGAGTGGAACAAAGTCGGGCTTCTTGTGCAGCCCAAAGCATTTGCAATCGTGGAAGCTTGGTTCTCGTTCCTCAGTCCAACCTGAAAAATTGGGCCGTAGCTGGTGCGTGTGCAGCATCATGGCGGCACGACTCAGTCCTCACAACCAATGCTGGATTACTTTTGCGACAACTTTGAGTCCAACAACTCTCTCCGTCGTCTGAGATGGCTGCATTGCGGTTTCTCCGCCTACCTCCCCCCCATTTCCCGCACATTCACCTCGCACGCAGAACGTCTACATTGCCAAACAATTGAACATAGGAAGGAATGGACTCGCGGGAGCGCGTCCCTGGCTGCTTCGAGACCGAAGTGGGCTCTACTTATTAGCGGTGTCGGGAGGCACATAGGCGCTGCTGCTCCAGGCTGTCCTCCGCATGCCACAAGGTCGTAAGTTGGAGCCTAGTGCCCTAGGTGGTGAACAGCAGCAACCCACTGAGGGTGGAGGGTAAGAGAGTGTTGAGGCTAGTGCATATATCGACTGCGTGCTAGGCTAAAAATTTGACGCGCTCGATCTGCCAGCCATGAAATAGTCAACCCCATCATGCATGTTAGTGAAGGGAGGCCCACTGATAATGCTCGGTAGGATCCCTTGAGACCTTCGCTGCCTTGGGACGTGTAGAGTCTGCACAATTGAGCTACAGGGGCGGCGAATGGGACCTCTTAGCGTTTGAAGGAAAATCAGAATTTCGGCCGCAACATGATAGTAAAGTGGACCGCTCGAACAACTCTGTATTCTCTTCTTCGAGGCGGCACCAAGATATCCGGCTCAATCCATGAATTACGTACAAAAATTATTTAACACTAGCTGAGACGAACATCAAGTCCGAGTCGGATCATAGCACTCGCGCCACAGGTCTCCGTGTGCAAATCGACTGAGGTCTAACTCCAATGCGTCTTTAGTCATCACCAGTATGTTCCCCGGAGCGAACATCAGCGACCGCCGTAACACATGGATGGGGACACAGCATAGAAGACGGCCTTGAGGACCCACAAGCCAGCCTTCCCGATCAGGGAGGAGGGCAAACGGAGGAGAATCTCCCCAAAATTGTTCTGAATATTTGAGAGCGTGTGCGGAATTGGACGAATAGCAAGGAGGAAGCGATGAAAGGAGATGTTGGTCCTCTGGGGCTGAAGAGATGTACCTCAGTGCCTTTACATCACTACACATAGAATGGAATCATGAAACCCACCGCTATCTGTCCTACGCAGGCGCATTATGTCGTGTGTTGATTCAGGTACCATGCGTCGGTCGCGAGGCGAGCCTTTGGCGGACATGTCCTCTGTATGCCTCTCAGACGCAGGGAGGAAGTGAGCTCCGGTCGCTGCATTCCATACACGGATTGTATTGTCCCGCGATCCGGACACAATGCATTGGCTGTCATACGAAATTGCAACTGAGATGATACTGTCTGTGTGCCCCTCAAGAGTGGGGAATAGCTGCGCCCCAGTCTCTCCATCCCATACGCGTATTGTCTTGTCTTTCGATCCGGATACGATGAGTCTACCATCAGGTGAAACTGCCACAGACCAGACCTCGTCTGTATGTCCTTCAAGAGCAGGGAGTAGTTGTACCCCAGTCCGTGCATCCCATACACGAATTGTCCTATCTTCGGATCCGGACACAATGCGTCGTCCATCGGGCGAGATTGCGACACAGCAGATATTTCGCGTATGCCCCTTGAGAGCGGGCAGCAGTTGGACACCAGTCTGTATATCCCATATACGAATTGTCTTGTCATCCGATCCGGACACAATGCAGCGCCCATCAGGCGAGATTACAACACAGCAGACGCACTCCGTATGCCCCTCAAGAGCGGGGAGAAGCTGCACGCCAGTCTCTCCGTCCCACACACGTATTGTCTTGTCGTCCGATCCAGATACGATATATCGCCCATCATGTGAGATTGCAACAGACCAGACACTCTCCGTGTGTCCTTCAAGAGCAGGAAGCAGTTGCGCCCCAGTCTCCGCGTTCCACAGACGAATCGTCTTGTCTCGCGATCCAGACGCAATGCGTCGCCCGTCGGATGAAACTGCAACGGACCAGATACCATTCGTATGCCCCTTGAGGGCAGGAAGCAGCTGCACTCCAGTCTCTCTGTCCCATACACGGATTGTGTTCCCTCGTGATCCAGACACTATGCGCCGTCCATCTGGTGAGACTGCAACAGAAACGAGACTATCCCGATGCTCATCAAGAGCGGAGAACAGTTGTGGCCCAGTCTGCGCATCCCATACGCGGATTGTATTATCCCCCGATCCGGACACAATCCGTCGGCTGTCAGGTGAAACTGCAACAGACCAGACACTGTTCGCGTGTCCCTCCAGAACTGGGAGTAGTTGTACCCTAGTCTGCGCATCCCACACACGGATTGTGCCGTCTCGTGATCCAGAACAATGCGTCGTCCATCAGGTGATATTGCAACAGTCCAGACACTGTCCGTATGCCCCTTGAGAGCGGGGAATAATTGCGCCCCAGTCTCTCCATTCCATACACAGACTGTATTGTCGTCCGATCCGGACACAATGTATTGTTTATTGGGTGACACCGCGACAGATATTATACTATCCATGTGCCCTTCAAGAGCAGGAAGTAGTTGCACCCCAGTCACTCCGTCCCATACACGGATGGTCTTGTCACAAGATCCGGATACAATACGTTGGCCATCCGGCGAGATTGCAACAGAGCTGATACAGTCCGTGTGACCCTCGAGAGCGGGGAGTAGTTGTACCCCAATCTCACCATCCCATACACGGATTGTCTCATCTTTCGATCCAGACACGACACGTCGGCCATCTGATGAAACTGCTACAGACCAGACCTCGTCCGTATGCCCTTTGAGAGCGGGGAGTAGTTGCGACCCAGTCTCTCTATCCCATATTCGGACTGTCTTGTCCTTCGATCCGGATACAATCCGTCGACCGTCAAGTGAGACTGCAACAGACCAGACCTCATTTGTATGCCCTTCAAGAGTAGGGAGCAGTTGTGCCCCGATCTCCGCATCCCATACACGGATTGTACCGTCCATTGATCCGGACACAATGCACCGGCTGTCATGCGAAAGTGTAACAGAAGTGACAGCACCCGTATGTCCATGAATTATCTTCTCCACCGATGGCCACGTATCCATACCAGCAGTAGTGACAGTCAGCGTTTGCGGAAACTTGTACCGGCTCGTTTGGAAAATATGTGATTGAGTCGGAGCAAATGGCAGTGCTGACAGATACAGGTGCGGGGTGCTTCGCAACATTGTCGCAGAAAACATTCGGACGAATCGCTCGGTGTCGGTCGCGGCAGTTCTAACCTGTGCGTAAGTCGGATCGCCCTGTAGCCGGGAAGTTATTTCCTGGAAACAAAGAGAAACAAAGACGAGCATACCGCGAGCCGGGACGAGATTAAAAACATCGCTAATGCGGCACCGCTCAAAGAATTCGTGAGACTGAGCACCTCGAGCCAAAAGAGGACCCGTTCTTCGAAAAAGAGCTTAATTTCTTGCACCAGAGATGACTCGAATGGCGAGGCCAAGAGGTGCGACGTCCAAAATCGACAGGAATAATTAAGCTGAGGAGAAATGCATCTTTCTATGCGCTGCGGCAAGTCAATCACACTCGAATTAGGCAGGTAAGAGTTCTTCAAGTTACAGATATTGAACCGTAGTTCAGTCTTCATGACACGTAGACACGCGAAAGCGAGTCGATGATGCTGTACTCTTGATGTCTCGATATAAAATTCACCACTTCGTTTTCGATCCGTCAAGAAATCGTAGAATGATGCATGGAGAGGGCGAACAGGGTCAGAACCCCCAGTAGTCCCAGTCAGCAACGCGCTCAGGGACTTGATAATCGGCTCGACCTTGATTTTATCCTCACATGAAAAATGTTGTCGCATTGCTATAAGTGCGGCCATCGGAAGTGGCTCTGATGAGCAGATGATCTGTCCCATTACCGAGCGAAACAAAGGAATGACATCCTGGTGCTGGGTCTGAGGCATGGCCCCCTGCAGAACAAGTTTATACATGTCATCCAACAGCGTAGTCCCTGTGGCCGACGTCCCAGCCATGATCGAATCAAAGCGCTCAGTAGCATCTAGTCCCGCTAGGGTGTCATTCATAATGTACCAGCATGCCAGACGAGCCCATTCGAAGACCCCGTCCGCTTTCTGCGCAAGTGTCCGGAAGTGAATCTCGTTGAATCTCGTTGGGGACCTAAGCTCGTCAGTGATGTAGCACCTGACATCATGCTCCGAGTCTTCTCGAGGAACGTCATCCAGGGACCGATGTCGAACGTGCGGAGCCGCCTCCAAGGCATCTTTAATATCCGGCAGTGGACGAGAGGTAATGAGGATCCGAACAGTGGGCGGAAGTGCGGTTGCGGGAAGCGAGGACTTGTCCCACCTTCCAGAAAGTGCCCGAAGAATCTCTTTCCTGATATCCCGTTCACCACTCTCGTCCAGCGCATCAATCACGATGAGCACAGGCGCACGGACCACTTTTGATGCTGCACGCATCGGCCCAAGAAGGAGCTTGACCCACTGTCGTTGCATGTCCGGCGTGTGTCGTAGTTCGTTGCTGTCACGTATTACGTCTGTCAACGCACGACGGATGAGGGGATCATGGTCCGCCAAGTCGCGCGCAATTGTGGTGAATATCTTCTGGTGAAGGCGATCTCCTTCTCGCGTACGATCAAAGCAGAAACAGGATCCCAAGATTCCACAAGCTTCCGCCCAACTGGCTATGGTATGTGCAATCGCTGATTTACCCTTGCCTGCCATTCCAGATAGCCACATGGTTGGCTCGGCGTCGTCTGCGGTATTGCGCGCCCAGTCCTTGATCTCCGAGAGAATGTTCATCCGAGTACCCTCGAGGCACTGCTTGGAAGTGTTGAAGGAGACACGAGTTGCGGATTCCATGTCGTTCAAGTACACGTCTTCAGCTACGTCGTCATCGTTGAGGTTAGACACGCTCTAAGACAAAACAGTCTACTCATACCAATTCTATACACAAATAGAGTCGTTTGAAGAGCGTTTCGGTCACGAAACCGTTGCATATGACCCTCTAGAGCTGCATTGTATTCTCCAATGACTGCATCTGTATCCTTACCAACATTCTTGAATAGTCTTAACCCTACACAGTGACAACATGAGGGACCTAGGGGGAAAGGTATGGAGAAGGTTGCTCACAGTAGCTCTTATCCTCGGTATAACGGACAATAAAATCAACACAAACCCGTACGTTTTGTGCGAGTTCCACCAACACCCTTTCCATCGAACGATCTGCTGCCTGTTCTCTTCTCATAGTCAACAAGAGGTAGACGTCCGAGAGCTTCGAGAACAGGCTCTCGATATCATCATCACGCTTCTTCTGATTGAGAATGGCCTATTCCAGTGTCATCTACGAACGATATACTTTATAAAGAGAGCCATACGTCGGATGCAGACACTAAAATCCCAAGTGCTAGCTGCGCATAAGGATTGAGCTGTGAATTGCGATCAGACTCGACCAACTGCCTGTGCGTCGGATGGTATACCTCCGCGATGGATTCAGCCACCGAGCTGAATGTCTTCAACGGTCTCAATAGGTCAGGTATTTTTGATGTTTGCATATCGCCGAGACGATTGTTCGCATCCACACGCAAGGTGTCGAACATATCATCACTATCTCTCGACGTTGAGCCTTTGTCAGTTTTCATGACACTGCGTTTCACGTCTTCACGTTCATTGATAACACGTAGAGATGTGGAGCGCGATCGGCGCTGCAGATCGGAGGTTATGGGCAAAAATAAGGCCAACATCTGGTAGAAACTCACATAAGGAGTTGGCACAGTGAAGGCAACGTTCGAGTCAGAAGTAGCAGAGGAAGGCCCGGGTGTCGGTGATCTACTTCGGCCGAATGGTAGATGGAACAGATCAAGATACCTGTGGCGAGATGCAGACACTGATGAAGAAACGACCTACGCAGACATTGTAAAACAGCGCGGTGCAGACCACAAGAGAACCGATACCTACCTGCTGTACATCTACCTCATCCCTCCCTCCACCCCGATCTATCCCAGAGGACGACCGAGTGATCACCGGCCAAAACTTACGCTTCTCCGGCGAAGCACCATCTTTGCTCATGCTTGATGCGCCAACGTTTGTGCAAACAACCTGTGGATATGCGAGGGACTAGCAAAATGTTTACCAAGGAATGACTGGTCGTGTACAATGATCACCCCGTAGATGGCAGCTTAAATCCTGTGATCAGCATGTTCAAGTCTCATTCTTGATAGCATATCATCACTCACCAGATTGCGCAGGTCTAAATATGCGTTGATACTTCCAATACCTCGTAGGAACAAAAGTGGTCAAGAAGACAATGCGATGGAGATGATAGGACCTGTCAGCTAAGGCCGTACTGGCATTATATAGACATTACCGTGACGGCTCGTTCGACAGCGTCTTTGCACTCACCTACGGATATGCCCGTGACACGAGGTCCAGCCCAATCGCGCCGTCTCATGCATACCTTTCTCTCCATCGTTCCATTCAGCTCATAGATATTCATATTCATCCTAACAAAACTGTGATAGACCTTCGGTACCTTGTTTGAGACAATTCCAGCACAACAGAATATCTTGTCCAAAGATGGAACAGTAGCTGTGAGCTAGAGAGATTGCGGAGGCTGGGCGCCTTCAAACGGGAGAGGGAAGAGTCACTAACTGTCGACAGAGGCTAATATGAGATGTGTGTAGTGAGTGAGTTCTCCTAGAATTACTGAGGTCGTTGAGAATCGAGATGCTAATTAGTTCAAGTTGAGACGGTGGCCCAGCGCTTAATTCAGTCTGAAGTCTACTTCCCCACTGGCACTGATGCCCACCGGCATCCTCACTTATTCTCTCTCAGTTTTCCATGTCGATATAACCTCGCATCCATAATACTGTAACGCGGGCTTGATATGATTTCTATCTCCAGCCTTACTTACCCGGGCAATCCTCGCGTCGGTCCACAGGTCCGTCATTTTGCGAAGACAAAATGGCACATCATCAGAAGGCGCAGTGGTGGAACATGATCCCTTCGTATCACCACGGCCCACACACCCCGCAGCATTACGTACCACTATAGCTTCGTTTTGCTCAATGAACCATTTCCAGTGGGTATCGACAACTATATACTGTCCTCGAATTCGTAGCCCATAGTGTCCCACTGCTCGTCCAGTCATCTGTTAAGTTAGGCTTGCATACGCTAGCCAGTGGAGGTGGTGTAGTGATTTGATGAAGGAAGTTGCACTTGTGGGCACAGCTCATATCTTGCTCCTTTGCACTAACAGGAATGGAATGGCGGACACGCGCCCTCAAGTCCAAGAACGCGATGACTGCCAGCCATTTTGACGTCGGATGGAAGTTGTCTTGGCTGTGAGGGCGAGTGAGGATACTGGTACTCTATATTCTACTGCTAGCGCTACAATCGGTGTCTCAGATCCAAAGATTCGTGAGGTTATGGATGGTACGCTAGTTGTGCTTATATCTTGATATACTGACAGCATTACTAGTGAAAGCGCAAGCGTGGGTTACAGCAGGCGAGCAGTAAACGACGAGGAAGGACAAGATATAATACATTGTCACATCTGAGATGTGGTGTTGTCGGACTTACCGAGATAAAGTTTGCGGCGGGCCTGTTCGTCTCCGTTCATGGTGAGGCTCAATCCTCTCGTTATGTTTCGTCTATTCAAGACCATGTCCTCAGCCAATGTGGGCTTGCTGTTTCGTGTGTTGAGCAGGCAGACGCAGGAACGTTTTCGCAGCAACTAGTGCCTGGGACAACGCAAACGGGCGGGCGTGAGTGAGGTGGACGAGACATTATCTGGTATTGGCATAAGCGTGGTAGTGGCGGTGTCGTTTGGGCAGATGCTCACAGAAGGTGCATCGTTCGTTCAATTGGTTGGACCATGCTGTTAGTCGCGATGGAGGCGCATACATGATTGCATGGAAAGCATCGTGCTGACATCCAGTGCACAGGTGAGGTAAGAGGGGCGTGTATCCCTGGGTTGAGGTTGACAATAGCTTTGCGTGCCCTTCAGACTGAACATGATATATGAGTGATAGCCGATACGTTCGAATGAAGCCCTACTAGTGGACAGCGTCCGTGGTCGTACTTGTGTATTCTACCGATCTGCGAGCAGATACTGTCCAGCAACGGGTGCGTGATGTACGTAGCTCTCTTGCATACTACTAATACCTCGAGACAGACAGCACAGGAGTTGCGTCGACAAAGTCTGTGAGCGGTATAATGAGCAAACGACGCTTGAAGCGGGGGAGAACAGACATTTATGGATGCTTTAATTTTCTGGGTAGCGAATACTTTCCGCGATATATCCGCGCTTCAAGGACCACCAGCGACCTTGTGCGTCCGCGCTTGAGGCCTTGAGGTTTTGTGTGGCATACTTACATTCGACTGAACGAAATGCCAGGACTTCAAGTGGTAGAGAGATCGAGACGGAGATATCGGCGCCCGCTCCTTCAACGTCCGATGTTCCCGGAGGCCCATTGTTTGCTGGTGAGTTCCCACGCCTTGGCGTTCGAGCCCAATGCCAACACTAAATTGCCAAGTACTAAGCGCTAAGCACTAGCCTTGCTGCGCTAGTGCTGCTCGTTTTCACATTGTCAGCTGGACGCCGATCCATCACAACACGGAATGTGACAAGGCTAGAGGCAGCGTTTATCTCTGGGTGCCGCTCTAGTGAGATGAAATATCCCGGCAGCACAATTCTCGGTCTACAAGGCTTGCTGTGCGTTGCTTGGACACGCCAAGTCCAAGCTCGAGACCAGCATATTTGGATCCTCTTAGCATCAACTGGTCCCGCTCGGGATAGTGCTGCATCGATATGAACATTGTTCGAATTCCACAACTAGCATAGGCGCACTGAGCTATAAGCATTCTTGCAGTTAAGTTGTGGTATTCTACCAACAGCGAAATTGCGATGTGCTCTGAACCCGCAATCGTGCGATCTTGGAGTTAACACTATTAGCAGACAGCCGACAAACCATCAATTCTGGCTCCGGGCCTCTGGCCTTCAGTGGCTCTCGCGATGTCCAACTCTCGATACCCACACCATCTTTTACTTGATTTCTTCAGATTCCTCTCACGCGCAGTTAGGAGAGCGGGAGAACTCACCTTTCGAGTCGGTGTGCGTATCATGCACTGAGCAAGATGACTCGGATCTTATTTACTATGTGTGTCAATGCTGAACTACGCCAGTGACACCATCGGACCACTTGCAGCATATGGTACGATACGGGCTTAAAGCCGTACATGGAGGGACACGTCGAAGGCAGCCACTTGGAATAATGAAAAGTGAGTTGCATCTACTCTATTCTACTTGATCCGTACTCTCACTCGCAAGGCGGTTCTTTCAAAGTACGCCAGCTCCATGCACCGTCCCCGTCTGTGTTGCATATCCCCGTGAGTCGCTCTGGGACTATGTTATGAACAGCAAGCACCGGAAGCGGGCGTGAGAACGGATGTACATTGCTGATAGCAAGGGTTTTGGTCGTAGTGCAGGGTGGCATGGATGGACATAGTTACATTGCCACGACAAAGTTAGTCCAGGCAATGAGGGTGCAGCTTCGAGTTAGGAAGCTGGAATGGCTGTATTTGACTGAGCAGTATGCAGATTGGGGGGATTCCGGGCGCGCCCTGTTATCTTTCCATCTTGTTGGAACTGGAACCACACGCGAGGAAGAAGCCTCTCATGCCTCATTGGAGAATTCACAGGGGAAAACGTACCAACACACCCTGAATCCGCGACTGATCTGGACGGTAAGCAGTGAGATTTCTAGCGAGGTTCGTTTGTTGTAAGTAATTGCTCCTAATCGCGGGCTCTCATATTTCCCTTCATTTCCTTCTTATCCCCCTGCCCTTTTCCAGACATGTTTACTTCGATTTACACAGACTGCGTACGCGCGGAGGGAGGTCTAGGGATGTGGGGAGTTTTGACGGACGGTGGAGGACTACCAGCCGGCTTCCTCCCAGCTGTGAC